CATGGACTTAAAGGACGGTGCCTAAAGTGGGATTATGGGCGAGGGGAGGGCTCCCAAAGGCATGAGGGGGAAAACAGCTCTGTTTGAGCCCACAAGTGGTGCCCTCAGTGCGGTCCCGCCTGATTTTGAACATGCTTATTCGTCTGATTCGCCTGGAACATGGATGTTGAATATGTGTGTCGTCATGATATTTCATGAGACAATCGTAATAAAGTAATGAGTATTCAAAACAATAATTGTGAGATGCATAACATGACGTGTTACATTAAATTTTTAGGAACATATATATAAATGGAAGAGCACATAGAGGAGAAATCGAAAGATAATCGCTAGGTTACTTACCAAAGGGCTTACTTTGAAAGGATTATGTACTGAACAGTTTCCAAAAGAAATGCAGAATGAAAATGTGAATGTGCAACATAAAGGTATATCGTAAATAGACGTAGTTTATTCTCTCACTGCTTTACACGTACAATTATGAGTACAATAATGAATCAAGACCTGTAAATACGTCGGTAACACAGCCTTTATTCTTTCAGTACTCTCTCATTATAATTGTAAAACCGTTTTTAATTTTTACAGGAGCATATACAGAGGATTCAATTATGGGAAGGAGCAATTATGAATCAAGACCTGTAAGTACGTCGGTAACACAGCCTTTATTCTTTCAGTACTCTCTCATTATAATTGTAAAACCGTTTTTAATTTTTACAGGAGCATATACAGAGGATTCAATTATGGGAAGGAGCAATTATGAATCAAGACCTGTAAGTACGTCGGTAACACAGCCTTTATTCTTTCAGTACTCTCTCATTATAATTGTAAAACCGTTTTTAATTTTTACAGGAGCATATGCAGAGAATTCAGTTATGGGAAGGAGCAATAATGAATCAAGACCTGTAAGTACGTCGGTAACACAGCCTTTATTCTTTCAGTACTCTCTCATTATAATTGTAAAACCGTTTTTAATTTTTACAGGAGCATATGCAGAGGATNTAAGCCAACCAGAAGGTTTGGCCAGGGAGGCACTCTTGATACAAATATCGGTTGAGATATCGAGAATAAATGCTAGAGTTGACGATAATCAAATGTTTTAACGCCCACGAGTTTTATTTAAACCGTCCGCCATCTTCTTCATTTTATACTAGATTCCCGTTGAATCTTACATGTAATAAAGCATATTCGAGAAAAATATCGTAAAATATAATGGAGAAATTTGGCAACATCGTGCCAAGTGATACACGTAACGTTGCCAAATTTCATCACTATATTGAATAACCTGCTCAACCGCGATGAAATATCTAATAATCACTTACTTATTGAACAATCTGTGTCGTAAATATAGTCAAATTTTTTTTAGACTTTGAGGAATTGCCTAAGTTTTATATTGCATGGTTTTCTTTTAACATTTTAATCGTGTTTCGATGTAATATCTAACTTTTAAGTAAACTTTGTCAACCTCCCCCTTAAGAGTGCGTGTATAAGAACCCATTTTTGATATTAATTTTTCTCGGATACTAGATTGTAAATCGATTCCAAATTTTATCAGGATATTCATTGCAGATTAACCATTGAATTTAAATAGTTTGAACTTTTTAATCTATGCATACCACTGACGAACCTCCTTAAAATGATGTCACATGAATTAACGCATCAATAGTTCTGTAATTCTTTCATTTCGATATTTGTCTCATTTCTCTTTGTTTTTCATCATTGAATGTTCTCGAAACGCTGACGATCGGTGTTCATATTTCTCCACAGTTATACAATGTAGTTAAATTATTGCCCCTCTGTTGGATGACGAATTAGCTTATCAGTATTGATATAGTTTTACTCAGCAACAAATAACCCTAAACATATTAAAAACCTAGATAACAAATCTTACTCAGCGACAAACAACCCTAAAACTACCCAAAAACATCCTTACTCATCCTATCCCAAACATCCCCACTCCTACTCTGCTTTGATCAGTAGCCCAATTACTCATACTGACTGGATATAAGGACCAGAAAAGATGTACAATGGGGGGATGCCGTATTGAGGGATTTTAATCGCGCCTCTTCTTCTCCCGGAGACCCCCACTACCGTATTTCGTCCACGCTTACGTTACTCTGATGCGCCTACCGGCTTCGTGACCACGTGACATCACGTGACTTGAACCTTCTTTATGCGCAAGCGCATGAAGAACGTTGTCGGTCGATGGCGATGGCGGGGGAAAGCTTCCTTGCTGCCAAGACGGCAGTCGCGACCAGGGGTCGGATATTTTATCCCTCGGCCGGAAAGTGGGGACGACGCGACCATGGTGGGGACCAATAGTTGGTGGGGGTATGCACTGATTTTCACGGTACCGCTGCGGAGAGCTTCGCGAACGCGCATGAGCACGCATGAGGGGAATAGTAGCGTTGATCGAAATACGGGCGAAAAACAGGGGAAGCGAGCGTCGAGGGATAAAAGATCCGACCCCTAGTCGCGACTCGTGTTAGCTTCGAGGAGGGAGACAGAAGGCTGACGGCATCTTCGGAGGTAAGTCTGGAAAAGCTCGACTCAGCAATTTCCTGGTGAATACATACACACATTTTAGTGATTCAGCGTCATTCGCCTCATTCAGCTCAATCCCTGATCGCAATTACGAACCCGATCTCGTCTTTGTGTACTGTTCGAAATCGTCTTGTGCCTCCCAGCCACGTTAAAAAAATATCAAGTTAATTAGCATTCTCATCCAGCTGCAGTCGGATACCGGCAATGATAGCATGAGTAAAAACATAAGACTGGCTGAAAAATTCTGCAGCGATTTCTAAAAATAACTCCCCTAAGAATTCCATTCCTGCGGCTTCTGGAGCTGATCCTAAAACACCAGTCATTGCAAGGCACGCGTCTCCTAAAGTGATCCGTGATGAGAAAATGGACGTGGTAAACATTTCGACCTCCATCCGTTTTAGCATTTCATCACGTGCTTTTGCCATAGAATTAGAGATATAGAGTGCGCGTTCAATGCTGAGCATTGTAGCACGAGATGCCAGACGAAGAGAGAGAAAGAGATAGTCGACTGGAGATCTGTCTCTCTCCCACACACCAATAGTGAGGGGGAAAAAGATAAGAGCGGCCATGCCGGCAACATTTGACTGCTACTGCATATGAAATTGCAGACTGTTGTGTGCAAAAAATATAGATTATTATATTTTATAAATGGACTAACTTCGCCACTACGCTGCCGCCGTCGTTGGAAACGCGTCATCCGTCTCCGTACTTGAACATGAGACATATATAGTTTTTTATTTTTTTCACATTGACGCACCAATCCTAAAAATCTNTCGATGTGGTTCTAGCTCTAATAGAGATCGAACGGGATTATTCATATTCTCAATTAGTTATTAATTAAGTAATTTCTATTGTAGTGAAAAAGTTATGAAATTATCTACAGTCATTGAAAGTATTATTCCATACATTTTAACATAATTATGGTATTTTTAATTTGGTGAAGACAATAAAAATCCAGCTTTCCATTAATGGAATGGAAACATTTACTAATTTCAATTAAATACTGATATTCATTAAAATATTACATGCCAATTACTTTTATTCTTACTTCAAATACAAAATATGGTGTACGCTAATGAAAATGAAGTAATGCAAGTGTGACAAAATTTGAGAATGATAAGTAATCTATTTCTGAAGTACTAATCTCGAATTAAGCATAAGGTTGATAATATTAGCGTTCTACGTTTACCTAGTACCTATCGTGCTGGAGGAAAAGCATCGGTACCGGTATCGGTGAGTCTGAACGTCGGTAGTCCGACGCCGAAGCAGTCATTCTGTAGGATTTCATGAACCTATATTGCCGGTACGGGCCCTCCTGTGCTCTTTTTTCGGGCCGCACTTTAACACAGGCGATACTACTCTTTAGTAATCTCTCCTCGGTGTCTCTAGTAAGATTCCTCCAATCTATATTAAGAATTTTGCCTACCTAAACCGAATAACTGATTTCTCTACGATGTGGAAGATGTCTCTTAACGCAGGGAAGACCGAGGCGATTGTGTTCTCCAGAAAATGAGAAGTACCCACGAATAAGTTGATCGTTCAGGGCCTTCCTGTAGAGGGGGCAAAAATTGTCACCTATCTAGGAGTCGTACTAGATATTAGATTATCCTGGCTTCCTGCAATTGCAGACCGTATACAGAAAACCATGAAGGTTGCCTGGGTGCTCAAACTCCATATAGCGCATTCATCAAATCTAAAGACTTGCATTAACCTGGCCATATATGGAATGTGTACCAGGTCGATCCTCACTTACGGCTCTTTAATATGGTGGGAGTCTATCTCTAACATTCGTAAAACTGAAATCGAATGAGTACAAAATAAAATATTTAAATCCATTTTAAGACAAGAACTGCAGAACTTTGCAGGAGGGCTGGCACTTCTTTCATTCAGGATTATATTAAACGGTTCATGTGAGGGTTCAGCACTGACGTTCCTGAGAACCTCATTCGTGACTTGACGAATTTTAATATTCACACAATCCCGTATAGGGTTAAAGTCAAATTTCTCCTACTCAGCAAGTTCAGCGAACTCACTTAATGTGCTTTTCCACTAACATGCTTGCAATTCTGCTGGTGACGGCCTACGACCAGCCTCCTCCCTTGCTCAACGCACGATGCCGGCCTGCTAACCGATTTGATTTTTTGCACTGACTGATTTTCTTTACTAATCTCGTTTATTTACTAAATCTTACATTTGTTTCATGACATTGACATGGTTTGATTACTACTACTATCCGTCTTTCCGATTCATTTACATTTAACCACTTCAACCCTGCCGCTTCTACGGTCATACCATACAACTTCTCCTTCTAGGCCTCGCGCCTTATCTCAGTACCTCACCCGGCTGAAGAAATCATATTAATTCTGCTTGTTGAAATCAGTGGCTTTTTGAAACTTTTCCACTTCCTTATCCATGTCAATCCCGAAATTCTCACTTGATGTTCCTAACAGCAGTCTTATTAATTTTCAAGTCTATCGGTAAGCTGGCTACAGGTGGCAGGCACGATACCTGAAGACGCCTCCACCTATTGACTAGGGTGACTAAACATCGCGGGTTCGAGTGGGGCCTACTTCAAGAATCATCACCATATTGGGGAAAGAAAAAAGCTTGAATACAAACAAATCTCGACTCGAACTCAGAACTCTGAACTGTCAGAACGAATAAAAAATTTAGTCAACGAGCAGATTTGAATGTGTCAGCGTTGTCGAATAGAGTTCAGATCATCTACCAACAGTTTTAAAAGCACAATACTTACTGTTAAAACAATTTTAATAAGTCATTGTTTAAATAGTTTAACACTAAAAACTCTTTAAGTTACTTTAGTAATATAAAATAAATCAGTGTTTGATTATCAGTGTTTATTTAAATTAATATTCATAGATACGTACATTTAGTACAGTTACAAGTGTGTATACCTAGTTTCAGCGTATTACTGGTTTATAGAATAATAATATACTACAATGCGCCCACCAAAAGATTCGATAGTGTGGAAATATTTTGAGAAAAGGTCGAATACAAAAATCATATGTCTCTTATGTGGAGGACAATATAAACTTTCATGGTATACTCCCAATTTGCACGAACATTTGATCCGCAAACATATGGTGAAACGTGAAGTCAATCGATATGTGCACGAAGTAGTTGAAGAGGTGTACAGCGATGAAGACGAGGAATGGGAGATATCTGAGACAACAGCAGAACAAATAACACCTGTTGTATCTACTTCTACTAAAAAGAAATCTAAAAAGAAATCTAAAAAGAAATCTAAAAAGAAAAGTAAAAAGGCACAGAAGCAGGCACATGATAAGGAATTGGAAACTGAGGCAACAGAACTGGGACAATCAAAGATTGACAGATTAAATTCTTTCTTATTAACTATGATTTGTGAAGACTTACAACCCTTAAGCATAGTCGACGACAAGGGATTCATTGAACTTCTTCGTGAACTTGAACCTCGGTATCAATTTCCAAGTCGAAATACCTTAAGACACACCATTTTGCCACAAGTATACAAGAGTGTTAAAGATTTAATTATGAAAAATCTACAGCAAATAGGTTACGTTTCCATCACCACAGATCTTTGGACAAATTTAAATAAGCAATCTTATCTAACAGTAACCAGCCATTATTCTTTACAAAATAAATCATATTCAAATGTTCTGGCCACTAAAGCTTTGTATGAAAATCCTACGAGCGAATATATAACAGATATACTGAGCATTATTTTATCAGAGTTTCAAATATACGAAAAAACTGTTGCAGTTGTAACAGATAATGCTGCATATATGAGAGATGCTGTACGTAATCTGGGATATTTACATTTACCATGTACAGCACTTACGTTAAACTTAATAGTACATGACTCGATTGATGCAGTTCCGGAAATAGTCAATACGATA